CTCACAGACTGTAAGTAAGTTTTTATATTTAAAGAATTTGCCGCTGATGATTCAAACGCGAGTTTTGAGCAGTGTAGAGTAGGCTTGTTGTTTGTTGTTTCTCCGATCACAAATGCAGACATGGTTTTATGTTTACGCGGCGCGATGCGTCATTATAATCCGTAATTATGTCCCCACTGGATGCTACAAATGCCTCGTTTGTAATGGGTTTTAATGTTTTTGTCTCGTTTCGCTCCGGCCAGACAGGGCATCACAGTATGGTGAGGGGCGTAACATTTCCGTCTCACGCTTGAGGTATTCGGCCAATCACAACGCACTGGATAGCTGGCCAATCACAGCACACCTCGCTTTTCAGACCGATGAGCTTTTTAAAAATCGACGCGTTTCAGAAAGGCGGGGCATAGAGGAGAAACAATAATGTACAGTATGTGGAAAATAATGTGTTTTTTGAACCTTAAACCACATAAACACATTTCATTACACCAAATACACAATATAATGTTCTTTTTAGAAACATCATATGACCCCTTAAATTTGTGTTCCGAAGATGAACAAAGGTCTTATGGGTTTGGAACAACATGAGGGTGAGTAATTAATGACAGAATTTTAAATTTTTGGGTGAACAAACCCTTTAAATACTGTATATGAATATGTAATTAGCTTCATTTAAAGTGCTTTTGCTGGTGTGCTGTTTAGCACAGATTTGTGTGAATCGCATAATAGTACTTTAAAGTTCCATTCACAGATAAACTAGACGGAGAGTTTGCTCAAAGACAGGCGGGGAAAGCAATCATGCTTCAGTGCACCTTTTCCAAAGACATCTTGGCCAAAAGCTCATTGCATCAACTTGCCAGACAGACAGCTCTCAAGTTCTGCATGTGCCATTGTCAAGTCTTCACATCCACTGAGTCAGAAAAGAACATTTTTTCTACCATCTGAGAACTCCAGCCTCATGCAGCCAGACTCTCTTCTCGCAGCTTTTCACCATCGAGAACATGCAGCATCAACACAGGTCTGCGTATTAGTTTAAGTCTTAAACTATAAGTCTTTTCATAGCGCTCTCTGGCTGTCAATAGTTCGACATAAAGTTTAAAGTCACATTTCATAGTGGCTGCTATTTGAAGTCGGCGTGATTTGTTTTGCATTCTATATAAGCCTGCTCATCAGCAGGAGTTAATAGAGGCCATTCAGTCTGAGCTGGGTTATAATGGTAGCCCTGTGGCTCTCTCTCTCTCCCACGATTTGCCGGAACCCAGGGTCAGTTATTTAAATAGAGAAGTTTCATTGTTATAGTACAGCCCTTAAAGTGGAGGAAATGTTCCTGATCAGACTGTACTGTATTCTCCTGAGGGATGGCAGCAAGTCGTTTGGGTAATGTAAGGCCGTCCCTCATAAACTTTAAAGGACATTAGTCTCTGAAAGTTTTGCTGCTTTGTGTTGTGCATGGTGATTTATCATCATTGTGGGATGGCATTTTCAGATTTGAGTCCCCAAAACAATCCAATGGAAAGTTTTTAAACAAGCTGACCTTTAAAAATTACCCAAGAATTCACTGTTACATTCGTGATGGAGCCCTGCATATCCAGGTGAATTTCCTTACATATATCAGCATCAAAACTACCACACACACAAAAAAAAAGCTATATTTTCATGAACCACTGTTTACCCTTGGCAGTTTATGCAAAGTAAATTGTATTGCCAAATGACTCCTATTATTTATATTAACTTATTATGAGGATTTCAGGAGTTAGTCAACCAAAAATGTAAATTCTGTGATCATTTGTTCTCCCTCATGTTGTTACAAACTCTTTTGTAGAAAATAAGGTATTTTGAAAAATGTCTAAGCTGCTCTGTTCCGAAAAAAAAAGTAGATGGGGGTGAGGCACTGTCTAGCTTTTTTTTTTTTTTTTAAAAGAAAGAGTATCAGAAAGAATCACAAAAGTATCATAAAAGTACCAAGAAAGTAATCCATATAACTTAAGTTTAAATTGGCAGGGTGAGAAAATGTTGGCAGTATTCTCCTCATTTTCAGCGAACTGTTCCTTTAATTTGTACACAAACTTGTGACATTTTGGCCTTACAAGAAGCGTCCTTTCATTTACAACATGAATTTATGCATAGAGTTCCAAGTAAGCCAATCAAAAGAAGGCTTTTCCTTCACACCTACTCTATTTACTTGAATAACTGACAGATTTTTGGTCTGAATCACCTTGTTGGAAGGAAAGAGCGCGCCGACGGCAGAGACCAGAAGTCACTTTCACATTTGACTTTCAGAGCAAAATGAATGCTGACTCCTACATTTTCCACCAGGCTATTTGAGTGCTGAACTTTTCAACTTGAAAGCTGTAAGCCGCTTTCTGAATAGTTTACGATATAGAGCTTTGGTATAAACAAACTGTAACCACAGTGCAGGTTGAACTGTGTTCAACCATGTGTAGTTTTTATTTTTTTTCAACTGTGCTTAAAGGGATAGTTCACTCAAAAAAGACCATTCTGTCATTATTTACACACCTTCATGTGATTCCATACCTGTATGAGCTTATTTCTTCTGCAGAACCCAAAAGGAGATATTTTCTGAGAGTGAATGTTTTTGTTTTTGTCCATATAATGAAAGTCAGTCCACAGAGGAAGGAAAGTAAGGGTTGGAACGACATGATAACAGAATTTTTATTTTTTTATGTTTTTGGGTGAATCAATCTGATTTCTGAGAAATATCAAAAAACCAAAGGGCATTTGTTGTTGCTAAGGCAACAGGGTTGTTTGATTTATCCACATCTTATCATCATTCTCTTAAGGAGAGTAATATCTTATCCACAGGCTGAATATAAGTGAGGCACTGGCAATGTAGTGCACATACAGTGCATGACCTACTACAAATCTGAAACATGATTAAAAATCCATCTTCATTCATGCAAGTATATATTTGAAGTTCCCTATAGTTGTTAAAGCCATATCAGTGCTGCACACAGTATTTGCACTTATAATCTCGCCATGGTTTCATTGCATTAGCTTATAGTCTCATAGCCCTAACACACATGGTTGAGACCACACATTGGCACCAAATCCATTTTTCTGTCTACCATGTCTAAAGTCCATGCACTCAGATCCAGTCCTCAAATCCACTTTCTGTTGCTGGAGGGGAAGTGGGGGCATGTTTTTTTTTTGTGTCCAAAGTCTTGAAGACCATTTGAAGGCATCTAATTCAATCCTTGCCCCCAAGACAAGACTCACAACTAATCTTCTGTGGGTACCAGTGATGTTTGCGCATATCTGGCTGTAATGTGCAATGTAATCTAGTTTTAGAAAATTGGTCACTAACAGCTGTTAGTAAGAATCAGGAGATTGAGCTATGACAGATAAAGGCCATTTAAAGTCACATGAAATGGAAACTGTGATCATCTTTTCTTCCCTGTTGTGACCTTTATTCCAGCGAAATGGCTTCTCAAATGGGAAAAGAATGAGGGCGGGACTTGAATTTGTCCTTTGGGAATTGATTGAATAGTTGTTGTTTGCTAAATGCTGTAATTTTATGAGTGACATGATGCTGGAGCAAAGGTTTGCCTAGACCTTGTGCCAGTGGGCAAAATAATTGATGTTGCAAGGGATTTTTTTTTTTTTTTGATTATGGGGGCACATGAATTAAGAACTGACAATTTTGATAATGGTGAAAAAAAAAATTTAATTATTGATATAAATCATAATATCTGGAGGTCCATTGGAGATTCAACAAAAAGACAGATCCAAATGCCATCCCTCATCGCCAACCTCAATTAATTATAACCACTTCAATTACAAACAAATATTTAATAAAAACAAAAATATAAAATAAGTAGCCTAATTATATACTAATAGATAAACTTTACAGTTTGAAATGGGAATCACGTATTATTCATTGCCTTAAAAAAGATACAGGGAAGCAATACTATCAATCACTCAGATCAATTACAGGGTTTTGAAAAGAAGGAGATTGTGATTAAAATACAGCACTTGTATTTTATTCTTACTGATGTTTATGTAACAGCCCCGCCTCGTTTCCAACCTTCTCAATCTCTGTTGGAGGGACTGAGATTGTCCCTCGGTGGATGCTGAAGGTTACCGCGTGCGTAAAGCGCGCGCTCAGATGCTGCGCGTTGCTCACACTCCGCTTGGACTCGATATGGGTTGCTCCTGCTAAGTGTAGTTTAACACCTCCACAAAACCAGGAAAAGCATATTTACATCAAGTTCAGGTTATTTTAATCGCCAACATGAAATTTCCTCGTGGAAGTAGTCGTGTTTGCCGGTTTACATCGGTTGTATTCACCCGTGGAGCTGTAATTGAGACAGAAGAGGAATACAGTTACAGTCGCTCGGATGGACAAGTGTATCCGATGGATAAAAGTGGATTTAAAATCTAAGAAACGGGATACTTCCGGTCTTTGGATGAAAGTTGCGGTTTTGAAGGTACAGCACGGCATTTTCTCTCGTTTGTGAACTAGTTTTTTCTGCTCATGAATAATTAGAAAGCATAGTAGAGCTGCTAATTAACAGATATTCGCTGATGCTGACACTTTCAGAGAAACGTTATTCCACTGCGTGAGGAAAAACAAGCATTTGTTTTAGACGAGTGTGTGAACTGCTGGTTGTAATCTTTTCCAATTAATTCAACCGCCTTTCAAAGTGACAAAATTGCTGTAATTTCTCTATGCGCACGATTATGTGTGAGCTTGCGTTTGACAGAGAGAGAGAACGAGAGAGAGGGAAAAAGAGGGTAAGGGAAAGGAAACAGGGTTGTAACCCATGTCTTTTATAGACATTGTCACTGTAGTTTTCAATAAATCTGAACTTTGAATAGTTTAATTTTATAGTTTTAGTCTTGGTGTTTAGAGTCTCACATTATATAAGAATATTAGAATTTAACTACTCTTTGTATACATTTTTAATTGCATCTGTTATAGGTCAAACTGCACATATGCAATTATGTTAATCAAATGTCTAATTATACATACCTGCGTTAAAGTCTATCACAATATATATAGTATGCAGTATATAATATACATATACAGATAGATAGATAGATAAATAGATAGGCCTAGATAGATAGATAGATAGATAGATAGACAGACTTCTGTATTGATGGAGACAGTAAAGACAGGAAACAATGGGGAGAAGAGTGGGACAGTGGGTGGCTGATATTTATACAGTACACTGTTTATTTGGAGTCCCGCAGTAACCATAACCATAATATTAACCCTAACCTTTGCAGCAGATGCAAATCTCAAGTTTCACATAACAGCATGTATGTACACAATAATTACACTGTATCAAATGCTTTACATTTTAATCTAAATAGGACACCTAACATAATATGAGTTGTGACTTGTGTTTGTTCCTTTAGACATTTTTTTTCTTCTAATGAACAAAAACAAACTAATCTAAAGATGCATGCACATCCTGAATTGTTCTGATTGAAGATCCCATTACAAACCCAACAAACAAACACAATCACAAATTATTGATATGAGAAATAATGAAAAGGCATCATTCAGTTGAGCTGTGATGCCTATTTCTTCCTCTGCAGGGAGTGTCCACTCTGAGACAGCTTCATGATCAAAACTGACACTGAGAAGGCTAAAGAGGCAATTATGTGGAAAAACCAATAAGTGGTGGTCCCTTTACACAAGAGTGGGTTATATCTGTGATGATGGTGTTTTGTATGGGTTTTTTTCCCCAACAGAATGCATTTTACTATCATATTGAACGGTTTAAGTGATGACATATTGCTATTGCACATTTGTTCATTTATGTGACACATCTGCCGACAAGGCGCTGCTCAGACCCTGAGTGATGTTACATTCGAGGTGCGGCAAGGTTCAAGCGTTCTTGCCTCTGTCTTTTTCCCTTATGTATCTTTCTTATTTACATAACATGAGTCAAAGCAGTGTAAAATAATGTCCAATGTGATGTGTTCAAATAGAATTTCCAAAATGCTACAATTTGATGTATAGTCAGGCATTTATAAAACTTTTATGGTAAATACAGTCCACCCAAAAATGAAAAATTTGTAATCTCTAGGATGTCGTTCCAAACCTGTGTGAATTTCTTTCTTCAGAGGAACACAAAATAAGATATTTTTTCTATGCAATGAAAGTCCATGGGGTTCACTGTTGTTTTGGAACTCATTTACATTTATTGCATGCTGGGAAAAAAACTGAAATCCTCTCAAAGCCATAAGAATTGATCTATTCATGACATACAAAATTATTTGAGAAGACAAGTAGACCTTTGCTCTGAGTTTGATATCATTTATATGGCCAGAATGGGTTCATTTGTCATGAAATGCAAATAAATTTTTATCCATTTCCACATTAGGGCTATAATAAATGTCGTGCTGAGCTCACACAAATTTTGCAAAATCTGCTAAAATATGGAGCGAAAAGCAACTGCTCACTGTGCAGTTTCCTTTTTTTCTCAATTTGCAGAGACAGTATATACTACAAGCCAGTTTGTTTTGATATTTTGTGAAACGCTCTCACCTCCCCGCGTCCACTTATTATTTAGCTGATACTGCTTATGTTTCTGTCTGTTTTCTTGGACATCGTACAAGTGAAACAGTAGGGAGGGAGGAGACTTTTGTCCTAGTTAGTCAAGTCACATCCAGAGTTCAAACACAGGCTTTTCAGGACAGCTGTGCGAACAATCACCCATAAATAAAGGATAGACTTTACACAGTGTACCATGCAGCGCAAGGCCACGGCCCTGTGCTTTCTAGTGAAAATCTGCTAAAATATGGAGCGAAAAGCAACTGCTCACTGTGCAGTTTCCTTTTTTTCTCAATTTGCAGAGACAGTATATACTACAAGCCAGTTTGTTTTGATATTTTGTGAAACGCTCTCACCTCCCCGCGTCCACTTATTATTTAGCTGATACTGCTTATGTTTCTGTCTGTTTTCTTGGACATCGTACAAGTGAAACAGTAGGGAGGGAGGAGACTTTTGTCCTAGTTAGTCAAGTCACATCCAGAGTTCAAACACAGGCTTTTCAGGACAGCTGTGCGAACAATCACCCATAAATAAAGGATAGACTTTACACAGTTTCACATGGTGTACAAGGCCACGGCCCTGTGCTTTCTAGTGAAAGCTTCTGCTCAGGTGTTCCAATAAGAAATTGATTTTTCATGCCAAAACTTAGTGGCACACGCTGTGCAATCTGGTTGATATGATAAGACACACACTGGGATACAAAACACGTGACTTAAAAAAATGTAATTCTGGATTTCTTTCATAAAAAAACTTTCGTCTTTGGTTATAGGGTCTCAGCTTGGCTTCAACCATCTGATGGAAGTCTTCACGGAGTATGCCTATAATGAAAGCTTCTTTGAAAATGGATCCCGGGGCTTCAATGGCACGGAACAAGGGAGGCGGCACCAGTACAATTATTATGCCATGCTTCTCACACTGCTCATTTTTGTCATTGTCTTCGGCAACGTGCTTGTGTGTATGGCCGTCTCGAGGGAGAAAGCCCTGCAGACCACTACCAACTACTTGATAGTCAGCCTGGCTGTGGCTGATCTGCTAGTTGCCACACTCGTAATGCCATGGGTGGTTTACCTTGAGGTAGGTATCAGCGTGATTGGATGCTAAAATGGTTTAACAACCAACCATCTGTGCTTTACATTGATGCAAGGACAGGTTATTGAATTATTCTCACATGATAAGACTGTCATTTTTTTCGCCATCTTCTTCATAACTCATTAGAGTCAATCTGGGCATGAATTAACTAAGAAAAGCTGCAGGCACCGTCTTAAACCTAATTCTAGCCAATCAATTTGCAGTATCAAATATCAAGCAAAATCCATAGGTTTGTAATGTACATGCAGAAAATAATGTTCTTCAGAGAATAATGCAAGCAGGTTGATTGTGTGATATAAACTGAGCTCTGAACAATGGGTCAAAAGTGACACTTCAGATGCAACACATCAAATTTACAGCATTATTATAACTCGCTGTATTAAATTAGCCTTTTGGTATCTTGTGATGTGTTGTTTTTCTCCTAAAGGGCAGCACCGAGTAACTGCGTTAGCTCAGGTCATCATTTATTCAGTTTGAATCATTTATATGCATGAACAGAACATTAAGGAGCACTATTGTGAGATGGTTGAAATGATTATTGGCTAAATAAAAATAGCTAAAAGTCCTCAATATTATTATTAGGGCTAATGAAATCATCATTCCAAATTTCCATAAACAACTTCAGAATATCTTCAGAACGTGAATGAAAATGAGTCATGAATATAACCTAATTATACTAGCAAAAAATGGCCAATAAAATCAAGTGCTTTAGCTTAGCTGCAGGGTTGGGCCAAACTGACAATTTAAGAAATGTTCTCCTTTCAGTTCAGAGTTTGAATTGAATTGTCCATGCCTCGCAGTGTGTTGAATTAGAATTGATTCAATGCCACACTCATAAAAACAGTCCTTCATCACCAGCTACTGACATAACAATGTAACTGGTAAAAAGAGTCACTGCCACTAACAAAATTCAAGATTTCAAAAATTATTCAAATTCAATTCAAATCTTATTTGTCACATACACAGATAACTGTTCAACTAGAATGAAATGTCAACTTGCATTCTAACATAGTTCATTCTTATAGCAGTGGAATACATTTCCATCCATCCATTCTTCACAACGTTTGTCCTCAGAATACATTTCATTCTATTTAAATCTTTTTTCCTTAATTCAGGAGTCAAATAGAAATTTAAATGCATTCTCAGGCCAGTTCTGAATGCCACACAGCTCTGATTTATGGTAGCACGTTTCCGTTATGTAATAAAAAACAGCTTTTAAACAATAAATAAAATTGTAATTTAATGTCTCTCAATTCTGACTTTTCTTTTTTGAATTGAGAAAAGCAGAGTCCAAATTGCGAGAAAAAAAAGTCAGAATTAGGTAAAAAGTTGCAATTTTTAATCTGTGGTGGACAGAAGCTTCCATACTGATTAGCTCTTTCTGTGCACAGCAATTTTATAAAGTTTCTGTTTCTCTACACACTACATGCTTGTTCTACAGACCTCCCTCTCTTTTTCTCCCTCTATTAGTGCAAGGACATGTTTTGATCACTAACGATGTCTGAGAATGATAGCGGTGAGGCTCATTTCATCTGAGTTTAGAGATATGGTGATGAACTGATTCAGGCAACTCACAGACGCTTTCATTAGAGGTGTCAAATAATTCTTTAATCATTGACAGCGATGCAAACTCTAGGCGGGGACCTAAGACCATCAAGAGGTTTCTGAGTCCCTCGGCTTGCCTAAGGACACACATTAATCAGAGGCAGCTCAGAAAGCTCTGCCAGCCAACTCAGGAGATGCGAACTGTGGATGAGGCTGACCTCTGCTATATTGCTTCTTTCTGCCTGTTTTATTGCATAAACCAGAGAAAATGCCAATATTTTATTGGTTTAAACATTATTATCGTGGCTAAAGCTGTTGCAAATTGAATCCCGCAGACTTGCAGACGAGAAAGACAGGTGGTTGTGGTGTTACTATGGATATTTAGAATCTAAAGATATTAGTAATATGCAATGCTGGCCAGAGTGCTTCTGGCAAGTAACTAACTATTGCACATTTGCAAGCAAACATTGTAGGTTTGCATTCAAGATGCATTGTTCTACAATTAGCAGAGCGTTTAGTTGTCCATGTCTGTCCTCCCAGGTGGTGGGAGAGTGGCGGTTCAGCACAATCCATTGTGACATCTTTGTCACCCTGGACGTGATGATGTGTACAGCGAGCATACTCAATCTATGTGCCATCAGTATTGACAGGTAGGTGTTTCTACACTGCCATTATAAGAGTGGTCTAATGCTGACCGAGACATAATTTGGTGGCTCAGCTCAAAAGAGGGACCAACTCAGCTTCCGCACACCTGAAATTAAACCAGATTTGGTGCTGAGGTTTAATAAATCTGCAAAAATGTCAACAATTCTGTGTTTTTCTGTCAATATGGGGTGCTGTGTGTACATTAATGAGGAAAAAAAATTAACTTAAATGATTTTAGCAAATGGCTGCAATATAACAAAGAGTGAAAAATTTAAGGGGGTCTGAATACTTTCCGTACCCACTGTATAGACGACAACAATTTCATTGTACATTGTCACTTACAATGTCACGTGAGCTCAAAATAGTTAGAAATACTTGTGAGATCAATAGCGGTTCATACTAAACGTCTCCTCTATTTATTCTAGTAAGTAATCAGATACTAGAAAAAAAGTCTTAAAAGGATTACAGAGGTCATGGGAAGCACCGATATGTGGTTCTATACTGTTCATCATAGGTCACATGATTGCAGGTATATTTGGAAAATTGTGTGCAGAGGCATGTAGGAATATGATACAGGTCATATAAGGCCTGTAAAATAACAACAAATCCATTTTTGTCTCGTATCTCCCACAGGTACACAGCTGTAGCCATGCCTATGTTGTACAACACACGCTACAGCTCCAAGAGGAGGGTCACAGTCATGATTTCTGTTGTCTGGATTCTGTCTTTTGCAATATCATGTCCACTGCTGCTTGGACTCAATAATACTGGTAAATATGGGTGAAAATATATTCACTAACTAGATTGCCAGGCCAACACTATTCGATAGTTCAGGGTCAGTACGAATTTATTTATTAATTATAATTTTTTTTATTACTCTTTTTTTTATTTTTTAGAAAAGGAATGCATGCTTCTATTCAGCAAGGATGCATTGAATTGATCAAAAATGACAGTAAAGACATTTACAGTATAATGGTACCAAAGATTTCCATGTCAAATAAATGCTGTTCTTTGGAACTTTGTATTAATTAAAGAATCCTGAAAAAATATATCACGGTTTTTACAAAAGCACAACTGTTTTCAACACTGAAAATAAGTCTTGAGCATTAAATCAGCATATTACTATGATTTCGGTGGATAATTTGACACTGAAGACTGGAGTAATTGCTGCTGAAAATTCACCTTTGCTATCAAGTGAATAAATTACATTTTAAAACATATTCACATAGAAAACAGTTGTTTTAAATTGTAATAATATTTTATAATATTACTGTTTTACTTTATTTTTTGATCAAACAAATGCAGCCTTGGTGAGCATGAGACTTTAAAAAAAAATCTTGCCGACCCCAAACATTTGAACAGCAATGTTTTTAGTAGAGCTGTCAATCAATTACACGTTGTAATCCAATGATATTCTGATTAATTAATCAAATTAAAGGCAATTCACTGCATGTATTTGTGGAGAAATGCCCTTGAATTAAAATAAAGACTAAATTATTGTGGCAGACATTATGAAAGAAGCATTAAAAGCCAATATACTGTTTTATATCTGTAAGCTTATCTCTGACCTACTGTCCGCTACTGTGCACTTTGTCTCACCTTATATGCATTATTCTGCATGTGAATTAATAACTATAAGGAATATGATAGCTAAACTCTGTGTAAGTGTCTTAAACGTGAACAAATGGCTTCTGCTTATTAATATTATTATAGCACAACAGCTTGCACTTTAAGAGCTGAATTTACAGAGTATTCGTGTCAATAACTTGCATGCACACTGGTGTTAGGGGCAGCTAAAATTAAGTTAGGTCGCCACTTCATTTAAAAGTTATATTAGAGGAAGTCATTTAATCAGCATTCTTCTGCTTGAATGCTCGTGCTGGGAGGATGAGGTCAGGGATTTGTAGGCATGAACAAAACAAATTATAATGTAAGAGACTGGGAAGTTGAGTGTTATATTCCACAGTATTTAATACAAGTATTATGTCAGCTGCTGCATTGATACCTTTTTTAGTATATAAGTATGTATTTAGGAGAGAATTTTGAGAATTTTTTCCACTAAATTTTTCGTTATTCAAAAACAGTGATTTAAATACACTTCTAAGATGAGCATGTTTTTCATTTCTGAATTAATTTAGATTTTTTTTCCCAGGGGAAAAATTAATTATCGAATTATCTTGTTAAAAATATTTTAACTCCATTCATTTTTGAATAACTTTGTCTCCTGAGGTTGTGTGGTACAACCAACATTCAATAAATAAATAAAACAAACAAACAAACATAAAATAGGAAATGATATCACAAAAAGGACCCCTGCAGAAGTTTGAATGTGAATACATTTTTAAAAATATTATAAATTCAAAGTGCAAAGAAATACGTGTTTACTTTTTACTTGGGTACACTACGTGACAATTTTTTTTCTTTTTTTTTTTTTAAACGATACATTAAAAAAATCAAAACCACATTAAACCAATATCAATACAATACAATCAATACAAAGTATATTTAATAAGTGTTTAAGTTTTTCACTTTCTGTAACATGTACAGTCATATATGTTATTGACCCAGACATCTGTTTTACCTATCCAGTCAGTAAACTCCATTTTGTTTATATAATACATAATACATAAGACAAAATGTCACTAATTTCCACTGTATTTTTTCATTGCAGTCACTCATGACGATGCTCTGTGTGTGATCGCAAACCCTGCCTTTGTAGTGTACTCCTCTATTGTATCATTCTACGTTCCTTTCATCATAACACTGCTAGTATACGTGCAGATCTACGTGGTACTGCGAAAGAGACGGAAACGTGTCAACACCAAACGCACATGTCCAGTTACGGACATGGATATGAGCTTGACTTTAAAGGTGAGAACAGCTGCAGGATGATGAAAGTTTCTACTTACTTGGCACTCCAGTAGAGTTTAGTGAATTGGGATTGTTAAAAACTGCAGTGTCAATGAATTGCAAAGTAATTAATCAGCACTGCAATTCCCATTAGCTGTATATCAGTAATATAGCAGTAGCAGTATATCTCTAATGAACAGTTGGATAGTAGTAAATAATCTGTGATCATAGCGTGTCTAGAATGACCTTTTCCTCTATTTTTGCTTGTATTGATTCTGCCGACATACAGCAAATGGTCGCTGCTTCATATGACTGTTATTATAATACATGGCTAGTCTTTGCATTGTTTTACACGGAGCAACGACATCCAGGCTTCTCCATGGAGCGCATGCCGCAGCAGAATAAATTCAATATAGCATTATTCAAAGAAACTGATAGCTTATCTACCCATCCTAAGCTTCTGCAAGGGCATCAGTGCATTATTGAGAGCCATTTGTGGTTAGGGAGTTCTCATACTGTGTCCTGACGGCATAAGTAAACATCTCCTATCAGTGGTTTGTGTCACTGCTGTGTCTCCTCCAAAGCATTCTGATGTGAAAACAGGCTCAGATCAACATCATGTTTATTTCAGGAGCGCTTTCATTTTGATGTGCAAAACTCGTCCTTATCCTTCTATACAGCAAGTGTCTTGTTTTCAAAATGCTGAAGTTTTGGATTTAGATCTGAAATGGTCTTTAGATTGGCCACTTGTGCATCCAAAACGTATGCTTTGGAGATTGAGAATGCAAAGCTTTGGCAATCCTCAGCTAATTTAAAATGTTAAAGGATTTGGAAACTTTTCCTAGCGCATTACCTATAAACATGATCTATAAGCTGACATTTGCATAAAATATCACTGTGACTGAACGGAATTACCAACCTTCCAGTTGCATGTTTCTATAATTGCTAAAAAATTTAAACCGAACCTAGGGCAGGACAACTAATTCCTTTCTGGTCTAAATCTGTCGAAACAGTCTGGTGTTTCTCCCATGTGTTTCAGAAATGCACCCACCCTGATGATGTGAAACTCTGCACTGTGATCGTCAAGTCCAGTGGGAATTTTCCTGTGAACAACAAAAACGTGGTACACGTTATTCACCTTTTCTTTCCAAATATCGCTCTTGACAGGATTCTTGAGCTTCTAACCGCTTGTCATATGTACCAGAAGCAATAACGACAGATGACATTTGAGAAATGACAGTGTGTCAGCAAATATTAAATGTTAATCTCTGCATCCAGTGTAGACTTCATATAAAGTTATGTTGACTGAAACAATACACTGTTCTGTTCTTAAATGAGCTGTTTGTTTGATAAAGTGAACCAATTCATTTCATTATCAAAGCCTGAGCACTTCAGCACTAATTTTAACCAAAATGACTTCTTTTTCATCTTTTTTGTTAGATCTTCATAAAGGAGGTGGTAAACAATGGCGATGACATCCAAATGGATGAAATGACAAACTTAAACCCTGCGAGACAGAGGAAGCAGGATCAGTCTGGTACAAGTCAACAACACAGCAGGCTGGTTAACTCTAATCTAAGAGAGACTGACATATCACCTGAAGCTGGTGTCAAACCTGAAAGAAATGGCAACACCAGCAATATCACAAAAGGGGCCAAAGCATTTGAGATCCAGGTCTCCCCCACCGGCAAAACACAGACATCGGTCAAGACTCTTAACAAACGCAAAATCTCCCAGCAGAAGGAGAAGAAGGCTACTCAAATGTTAGCTATTGTCCTTGGTAAGTGTTGCTTTAAAGTACTTTAATGGTGAAGTGTGTGATTTTTTTTAAGTTAAAATACTTGAAGTTAAACATTTTTGGTTGATTTGCTCATAAGTGTAAACACTGTGGCACTTTCAAAACATTGCTTTGTATTTCATCATCACAACCAGCAGGGTTGCCAGATCTGCGTAACAAAACTAGTCCAATGGCCAATCAGAAATAGCCCAAAACTAGGTCAATGACCCTAGCCCAAATATCAAAACTCAACATATGCTACTCCCATACCTAAAATGTATATTTTACAGTCACTGTTATGCATTTGTAGATCACTATATAGTAGCAATCATAAACACAGTTAGTCTTTGTAAAGGACCTCAAGTTCCCTAACCTCAAGTTAAGCTCTAGCACAGTTAAATAATCTGTCAAACCTTTAACCAGCAGAGAAAAAACAGTATCCCACAGCAACAGTTGAAAAGTAGCCCAATTTTGAGGGAAGACTCTAGACTTAGCGACCCCAAAAACCGGCCTGACAACAGCAACACTGGTACAGCCAATGGTGTGACTTTCGGGGCAGGACTGTCTGTTTGTCCAACCAATAGCATACAGGCAGAGTATTGTGTTTGATTTTTGCAGTTTCACTTGGTGATGCTAATGGTGTGAAAATTACCCACTTCAGCTTTAGCAATACTGTTTGATTTCATTTAACTGAATAATGTTCATTATGTACATATGTACCCCTGAATGAAATATTTTATATAGGCTTTCAACTCAGTTTCTTAACATTTCCCACCCAAACTGAATTATTACCTCTGTGTGCTTTATTTTCAGGTGTATTTATCATCTGCTGGCTGCCGTTCTTCATCACGCACATTGTGAACACCTACTGCCAAGTCCCTCCTGAACTCTACACTGCCTTTACGTGGCTGGGCTACGTGAACAGTGCCGTAAATCCCATCATATACACCACTTTCAACATTGAGTTTCGCAAAGCTTTCATTAAGATTTTACACTGTTGAAAGAGAACTCGCTTCACCGGAGCAGAAGGGATAGAAATGATACCTCATCTGCAGTGGACACACTGTAAAACTTCAAATAAAGATTTTAAATTGGATCCCAAGTGGATCTAACTGGGGGCTACATCTCTTGCATTTCACAGAGATTAAAACTAAAGGAATGTATATAAATTGTCTGTATTATAAAAATTATTTTGTTCCAAGATCATATCGCCCAGAAAAGAAAAGAAAAACACATAAAATCCCTGGGGGAGATGGGGCTTAAAGCAATATTTTCAGCACAGACAAAAACTCTTGTTTGGAATTGCTTCAAGCAATGCCTTTGCTTATCTGTTTGTCAGTATTATAATATTATTTTGATTATTTGCTCAAAACCTAAATGTAACTAGGTGGAAACAGCGTTTTAAATCATAGTAGTACATACTGTGATACAAACAGATGCTTTGTAGTAACCAATAGGCCATGCATTGCATGGAGGTTGTAATTTATTTGCTGAAAAGCTTATTTATGCCAGTCATGTCTGCAATGTTATGTCCCACGTTTATAATGTTTGTTAGATGTTCTCTCAGAAAACTAACAGCAGGCAGAAACCTTAAATAATACATTCAGCAAATCTGTAATCAACTGTAATTTTTTTGTACCAATATCAAGCATTTGTGCCACATCTACAGTAAAGTGGATTTACCATAAAAAAGCAGAGAAAACAAATACAGTTTCACTAAAATGCTGTGATTTTCAAACAAAAAACGTCATTTGTCAGCCTTCCTGGTGGAAGCATTAACCATTGCAGCTCTTTGTTTTGGCCTTGAGGAGGTAAAGATAATACTGATGGAGTGAAAGGGGAGGATAAGGACGAACTGCATGCAGTCCCTGAGGTAATGAGTGTAAATTTAAATTTAGCTTTTTTACTATTTATTATGTTTATATATGTAGCTTTTCATGCTTTATATGATGGGCCTGCCGTTGCATTGTAATGCATGTTCTCATAAGATGTATGTTGCACAATGATATAAGCTTATGAATAAAGTAATTGTGCACTGACGGTTTGCCGTATCATGACAGCTATTTTTAGTGATACAACCCAACAAAATCTGCTATCTGAAATCAATCTCTTGGTTTATCACTGTAAACCCTGAAAGAACTATAGAAACAGACTTTCCTCCAAACTTCATGGAGCAAAAGAACACTGGAGCCATAAAACAAAGTTATCAGTCCCTGGCCTGAGGGCTGATTCAACTGATGTGGCACAGAGAGTTTGTTATGAATGCATGTTCTGTGGACAACACAATGACATTAGCCCCATGGCAACCATCTGTGGACACAGCTGATGATCAACACGCTGCTTTTTGCTGGCTACGCATAACTACAAACTCCTGCACACACACTGCTAAACTCTTGGCTACACAATGGTTGTGTAGTTTAGATGTAGTTTTTGTTGTCAGAATCCATATAAGAGTTCAAAATCTTTAAGGGATAGTTCACCCAAAAAATTCCTCAGAGTCATAGATGAATATAACTTTTTCTTCAGATGAACACAGGGATTTTTAGACAAATAATCCATCCATTATATATATATATATATATATATATATATATATAAATGCATCACAAATGAAATTACAGTGTGTAAGGTAAAGTGACACATTATAAATCATCAGCCTGCTTTGATTGTGAAGCACAGATCACTGTCAAAACTCTCAGGGCCAGGCAGTGACAGCCTTAAAATGAGATTAAACCTGTGGTGTTTGACCCTCAACACCAGGGATGTGTAGGGCACTACTCATTTATTTCACATTTGCAAATAAAATCTGTCAAGAACATTTTTCACCACTTGTCTGCATTGCAATCACAAATGCGGGTGGATGTGAAAGTGCTGCATGTGAATAATGATTTTGCCCTAAAAAAATGAGAGACACTTGAGCAAAGTAAACTTTGCACTTGGCTTTTCAACAGAAACAGATTAAGAACTTAAAATTCTTCAAGCTTCATTAGCCGACTAAATTACCTGTTAAAAAATAACTTGTTAGCACGGCCGCTAACAACATAGAGCAGCCTGGTAATTTGCACTAAAAATTCCTGAATGCAAAGTATGACATTGCATGTAAGAAACGTCATGAACTTGGACAGTTTCTAATTAACTAAATTGCTCCTTTGATACCCAGCAATCAAGGTTATTTTTCTTGCGAGTCAACAGAAGGACAGATGCTATGGGAGGTTTCATCGTCAGACATGGCGTTCAACAGCCCTTGATTGCTGTCGGCACTTAACAGAACCTGAAAGGGGTCCCGTGAGTGGGATATTAAGTCATTTTGGAGATGTGACAGGTGACAGAACGTAACAAGGGAGGAAGGGTATCATTTACGAATCATTTGATGCTATTTGAGTTTAAAACAGATGAAAATTTCAAATTTACTCATTCACTTTACTTATTCAAGCATGTACAGCATGTTTTTGTCTCCTCAAAACACAGTATCCTGTCTTCCTTAAAGACTTTGGGACTTAAATCTCTGGGCTGGAGATGTTGGGCTGAGAATGAGTTGTGCATGCAAGTAGATAGAAAGAGAGAGAGAGAGAAAGGAAGGGAGGGTGTGAGGGCTCCCACAGCGCTGAAGCTGTAATCACTTGCTTGGCATGTTTACCCCCCTCCTATGAGCCCAACTAAAGAGAATTAAGCTGGGCCAGCTGAGCCACAGGCAGGTGCTGTGTTGTTTTTCTGATGTGTTAATAAGAGTGCTCCTGCTGCCCACTGGACCGTCCTCCACACACCCCACCCAGTCAAACCACACAGCGCTGATTCATTTAACAGGGCAATGCTGTCAGGAATTGCAAATAGAAGTCATTTGTCCACACAATTATGTAATTATTTGAGGAAATGGCATTGAACTGTGGCTCTCCCATCCCTTCAAATCAAAGTAAAGCTGTGTTTTGATTTGAAGAGAATTTTGATTGACTAGATATGCCATATAAATTAATTTTCTAAGCAGACACTTCCACTAAAGCACACTGTAAAAAATGATTGTGATTTTAACAGTAAAAAACTGTAAAAATGTTACAGTAAAAACCTGTTAATTGGTTATCAGTAAGTTTCCATACTATATACGGTGAATAACTGTAATTAAATTGAATGTAATTTTACAGTAAAATACTGTTAAAATTACGGTTTTTGGAAGTGAAAAAGAAAAAGTCATTATATAATTTACAGTGAAAAAAACATAAATTGACGTTCCCAGAATTCCGTGCATGACACTTCATAGTGGTTATCAGTATTACAATGTTTCAAAACTACTTCAAAAATACTTAAATATGCTGGTTTATTAACATTACATCAGTTAATGAAATACGTTTTTTTATTGTGAATTTAAGTTAAGTCTGTAAAACCTAAAATGTTGCTATTATATATTTAACGGTGAAGTTCTGGCAACCACAGCTGCCGGTATTTTACCGTAAATGTCACAGATTTTTTTACAGTGCAGTTTACAGGAAAATAGGCTACAATTAGCCAATAAGTTATTAAGGGAAATAAATAGAAACATTTGCTCAATTAGTTGTCATAGAACAAAATTATTCAAAGAAGCCTTATCCCACTACTGGCCTCCCCGTTAAACTTGTGCAGAATGTATAAATGACTTTTGATATCATTCTTATATTATATAGCCTAGTTTTGCTTAATTTAAAATACTAAAGCAACTATTTAAAATTGTGTTTTCACAATTATTTTGACAATTGAATAATCAATAACAAAGGAGAATCCCTGTAAAGGAAATTCATCTAAAAGGTCATTTTATGAAATTTCTTATACATCGGCCTACGCCTTTGAATATTTCCTTTGATATTCACCATAATAAAGTGTCACAGTCAATGTTTTCCTAAGACACTAAATCTCACAAATGTTAATATTCAGATAAAATGACAGAATTAAGAAAAGCATAGCCATTCATTAAATGTGTTGAGATGAATGATTTTTTTTCCATCAATGCTCAAGAGAAAAAAATAAGGCCGTGTCATCTAACACAATTTTACCCTACTAGATAAGAATTATGTATTAGTGAAAAAACACGTGACGCACAGAAATGTGATGATTTTGGGTCTTATGTCACAAGGGGGCATGGAGAAATGCGATTATAAGCAACTTGAATTTTGACTGTTTTGTCAAGTTTCCGCTTTTAAATGTCATTAATTTCAAAATCAAATTCAAACAATAAATTAACAACAAATGTTGTTTTGATGCTCTTTAATGTGGTAGCTATGACAGATCAGGTCTCACTACTAGTTACAGCATGAAACAAACATGAATAAACATTCGAGGGTATATTGAAAGAAACAGTACAACTTACAGATGTGTATTGTCTCTCATGTAATCATCCAGTCGACTATGAAAAGACATCCATAACAATCACAGCGAACAATCACGATGTTAGTTTACCTCAGGAAAGCCATTCAATATCCGCTTGTTAGTTCTCTAGAAAAAAGAACTAGAGCATTAGAGCATAGCGCTGGTTGAAGGAAAACTCTGCAGGGCTGCGGCTCTTCAGGACCGACGTTCGCCACCCCTGCCCTACATTATAAAAACATTATTTACATTATGTTTGATCAAATCTCCTCTGACAAAACACACACACACACACACAAGGTTTTTGAGTAGATAAAATCCATGTCCACCTGTTCTGGGTGAAACAACTAAAATAAAATAATTTTTTTTATCTAATTTCCATTTTGTGCAGCATGTGACCCATATCAGTGAAGGCCAGTTGAGAAACTCCTTGGTATTTTATGCATCAGGAAGTGACAATTGTGTGACCTTCAACCAAGATGAAAAGAGACTGAGTGATGAAGATCTACTGGAGTCCTGTCAAGGTTCAATTTGATGAGGCATCATGTCACAATAACACTGAGAATTTCCTGATTTCAGCTGAAAATAGATCAAGAGCATGCCGTCGTGTGCCAGATGAGGAACAATGTTATCAAGAAGCCTGATAAAGATTCATATTATTGGCCAGAATACAGTAGCCTGTGAAACTCCCATATTATGGTTTTGTCAAAAAAAAAAAAAAAAAATCACATTAACCTCATTCTGTCATATTTCAATGTTAAATTAACAACAGTGGCATCAAATTCGACTAT